GTAAAAATAACTGACTTCTGAGCCTTCCCTAGTGCCCCATATGAGGAAATCTTCATTATGCCTTCACTGTGCGCCCTAGCAGTCAAAGAAGCCTTCTCAGACCTTCGCATGACATCATTCTTCCTCCCTGAATCTAATATCAATAAAAGCAGTAAACTTAAACTGTATATGGAGAAAGTGTAATGAGCAAATGCTCTTGGCTGTTGTTGAATCTTTGCGCTATCTTTCCAAATCTCATAAATCTCAAGATAACTGATCTTCTAGCTAAGTCATGTATTTCCTGAGCAAGTAAGCATGTCATTCAAAAAGAATATAGCAGTAATCCAGTCTAGGTTGAGGTAGCTGGAAATGCTCGTTCTTTGTAATGGTTTAATAGCCAATATTGTGGGTCTTATGGAAAATTTTGTCAAACGGGTAGCACACCTAGCCTTGTTTTTGTTATACCAATATATGTTATATTTTCATTCATATATTTTGTGTCCCCAAATATACATATTGAAGACCCATTTATTTAAGATACTCTGGCAATGAAATTTTAAAGGTGAGCAATGCATGCTTTCTGTTGTTGATATTTTCAAAATTAGATTGAGGAATCAGACTGAAAACATAGCTATGAAATCTGGTGTGTTGGTCTATTATTGACAGAAGCACAGTCAGGAAATGGAAGTAGATAAGACACTTCACTATATCAGATGAGGAGTTAAGGGGAAGGTTTGCTGTAGGTAATGCCTGAGGAGACTGTCTTCTTGTCTCTTACGGTGTGTTCTCAAATAGTAACATAATAGAAGGTATCTCTGTTAATTCAAGTAAATACATTCATTTCCTTGAGGGTATTTAGTTTGAAAGCATCTTCTTAGTGGACAGAAAGACTTTGACCTTGACAAAAGTGGTGGTTCTTTACATTGTGTGTTACTTTTTGACAACCTATTGTGGACTTCTCCCCAGAAAAAAATATGTAGTGTTAGTGTATATAAACTCATGTATACTTTTGCATACAGTTTTTTAGAAATCACAAACTTGAAGCTTCCTTAAAGCTGATTGCTGGACTCCGGCTTCAGAACTGAAAGGTATAAGATCTTTAGGGAGTGGGGAAGTGGGTAGAAAAGGTATCTTTTAAAGTTAGGGTGTTGGGAATCACAATTTAGGATTACTTATTTTCTCCATATATTCGTTGATAAAGAATACTTTCTCTGTGTACTACAATCAAAGCACTCTGATTTTTTTAGACTCTTATTTAATTTTTTTGGTAGTACATGAAGAAAAATAACCTTTAGGAGAAAAACAAAACCTGTGGTTTTCCATGTAGTTTAAAAATTGTTCTTCCTGACATTTAATTTTGGCCTATTGGTTAGCTCCAACCAACCCTTTTGTTGACCATAGGAATCCAAGGAGAATTCCAAACAGATAAATATTCTAATTGTCGTTGAGCATTTTCTTAGTATTGTTCCTACAACCCATTTCCCATATTGCTTTTAATTCTGATCTCACTAACCTCAAGCACTGTAAAATGGGTCAAATGAATGATAATTTATGCTTTTATAACTGTTTTTCTCTAACTTGTTTTTTGATGCAAAATCAATAGAAAATATGACATTAAAAGGAAAACAAAATATTCTAAAGTGAGTTTGAGAATTTCATATATCTCCTTGTGCCTAAATATCAAATATATATTTGATAATAATGAAAATTCAAGCACATATTGATATGTATTGTCATGTCCAACTTACTACACCAATACATAAAAAGCAAAATATTTTAGCATATAGAAATAGGACACTTGACTGGGCTCGGTGGCTCAGCCTTTAATCCCGCGCTTTGGGAGGTCGAGGTGAGTGGATTGCCTGAGCCCGCGGGTTCGAGACCCACCTGGGCAACTTGGTGAGACCTCATCTCTACAATAAATAAAACAAAATTAGCCGGGCATGGTAACGCGCGCCTGTAGTTCCAGCTACTCAGAAGGCTGAGGCGGAAGGATCGCCGGAGCCCAGCAGGTCAAGGCTGCAGTGGCCGGGAGTGGCCACTGCACTCCTGTGTGGGCGATAGAGTGAGACTCCAACTCAAAAAAAGAAATAGGACACTTAGATTTAACTGGAAGATGAGACAAAGAAACCTTAAAATGAGTGCAATATAAAGAAAAATGCATTTTGAACTATGTGATAGGTTGAAAATTCTAAAATGTCTTTGTACAACGTTAAAATTTAAAGATATATATGACTCATAATGAATTAAGTATTTGTGTGAATGAGGTGGTTTGGTCACTCACTGTTGCTTACTTTCAAAGAAATATCTGGTTTTCTCCTGAAGTGATTTAAGATGTGTTCAGAACTGCCAAACTATTCTGAAGTTTATTTTTTTAAAGTTTATTTTTTATATTTAAATGAAATGGACTTATGTACTCCAGAACTGTTGGTCTCCTTGTAAATATTAAGTATTGTCTGGCCTCTTCTCCCCAGAAGAAATGTTTTTACTTCTGAGAAGTCATTTATCCCTGGACTGCTGATCTGTGTTTGATGTAATCCATCAAGACATGAATCCTACCGCATGTGAAAAGTCATTACAAGAAAATAAAAATCAAAAACACATTTGAGTTTTATTTTACTTGTACTGCTTTTGTTTAAAATGTAGCACTGATAGCACACTATGCATGGCTGAAGGTCTTCGTTTGCAAGTCACCTAACTGACTCAGAGAATTTTTGCTTGCTAAAAAAAGTAATTAAAATGATGACAATAATAATCTTGTGGTGATTTGGATGGAACTTGTTAAAAATGCAGGATCTGGGTCTCCTCTCCAGACCTTCTAAATCAGAGCCTGCATTTTGACCAGATTCACTGTGATTCCTATGCAAATTAAGGCTGGAGGTGCATGGTTTTGTGTCCAGAGGCCTCACACCAGAGTAGCACTGAGAAGAGTAGACAGGCTGAGAGGCTGCCAGTTGGTACCCACAACTATTTGCATAGTAAACACAGGTGATGGGAGTTTTTGAATAATTAGCAAACTTGGATTTGCCTTAAAATCTTGGGGAAAAAAAGAGTAACATTTATTTTTATGGAAACCAATAATCCCTAAATTATAACTGGCAAAATAGTGAACTTAGGTAAGTCATCCTTTTCTTGGGCTGCCTGGCTGTAGGGACGCTGGAGCATGAGTGTTTTTTGCCGCATATGCATAAGCTGATCAGAATCTGGATTCAACTTTAAGCATGGAAACCAGCCACTTCGCTAGTATTATGAGTGGTTCTGTCTGCTCTTCGTAATGTTGTTTCCAGGGTAGTAAAATACAGTGAGCATTTCTTATTTTACCGACACAGCCTTTCCACTGGCCATAGGGCAGAAGGGAGGGGTTGGCGAGATAGCTTTAACTGCAGTAAAGATTTTTCCATATGCAGAAAGATCACCTACCTTGAACTAATTTCTATTTTCTTTCTTTCTAACCCTTTCTTATCTGTTGTCGGTTTTGTATGAAGGGACTAAGCTGGGTTCATAATTGTATATGATAAACCCTTAATCAAAGCCTAAAGCACTGCAATAGCTTTTAGGACTGAAATTTAAATTTTATAAATTAGCTGATTTTATTAGCTAGCTCTACATAGAGCTAAAATTCATAGATACTAAGATTTGAATCCAGTAAATGACAGTGAATTGAAAAGCATGGAATTTGTCACTCCCTAAGTTTTTAATGTATTTTCTCTCTTTTCCTTTTGGCTTTCCAGAAAAAAAAATCGGAAGAAAGTTAAGAAAAATAAAATTTGCAAACCTATATCAAAAAACAAATATCCCAGAATTTCTGGGCATTTGTCATTTTACTTTCTCATGATTAATTTATTCTCTCTCTTTTTCTGCGCTTCCTAAAGTTACTGTATTTTGACTCTAGTAATACTATGTCTAGTTTGGACTCAAATTAATAAGGAGGTCTTGTTATGCTAATATATATTTCCAACCTTGAAAGAAAAATTTACATACTAGTTTTAAATGGACTTTCCTATTATTTCTGAATGCTTTATAAGGTTTTGCTTTGTTGCGTAGCATAAAACACTGAGTTGGAGAGTTTCCAGGTTTTAGGAGGCTCCTGAGAACATGGATCATGTCTTATTTGAAATTAAATGTCAAAGACTTGGACATCTAGTTGTTGCCTAAATAAATGTTGACTTGCCTATTACATTGAGTAGATATGAATCTATTTTATAGAGACTCAGACACAATGTCCTCTTGAAAGTGCATTATAAATTGCATGAAAGATGATGAATGTATTGCTATCCTAGCACAGTGTTCCGGTATCTTGATTGAACCTTGCTTTACAAAGTTATCATAGCACGTGGTTTAGTTGTTATACCTGTCCTTTTACCTGTCAGTGAAGACCTGCTGCTGGTCCTAAACGTTCACATAAAATGTAGACATTCTTATCAGATTTTCTGTTTGCAGATTAGCTCCTCATTCCTATTTATCTTTCTTTAGAAACTCCTATAAATCAGTGACCAACTTATTCAAGGAAACTACTTTTCCTCCTCTCCACAAACATCAAAGTGAACAAATGGGCTCCTGGCTCAGTGGCTCCCACCTGTAATCCCAGCATTTTGGGAGGCCAATGTGGGAAGATTGCTTGAGCCCAGGAGCTTAAGACCAGCCTAGGCAAAAAAACAAGACCCCATCTCAACCAAAAAATAAAAAAAGTTGCCAAGTGTGGTGGTGTGTTTCTGTAGTCTTAGCTAATCAGGGGGCTGAGGACCACCTGAGCCCAGGAGGTAAAGGCTGCGATCAGCTGTGATCATGCCACTGCACTTCTGCCTGGGTGACAGAGTGAGACCCTGAGTCAAAAACAAAAAAATGGATTTCTGCTCTTTTATGGGTGGTCAATGTTTATACTGTAACAGGCCCAATGCATTCCATTATGATTACTTTCTGTAATGTCTGTGATATTTTTAGCAATGAATTTCTAATTAGATTTGTTTGCATTGATTTCACTCTGAAATATTGTGTATTTTAATTCAACTTTTCTTTTCTAGCTGTATTTTGGGGTGATATTGCCTTAGATGATGAAGAATTAAATATCTTTCATATAGATAGGACAATTGACCTTACGCAGAACCCCTCTGGAAACCTTGGACATACCACAGGTATGGTTGGTTATTTGATTAAATTTGTGTTCATTTTGGAGAAAATTTACTCTTGAGGTGTGAGAAGTTCTGTTTGGATCATTTTTAATATCCCACTGATAAATTTTGATTTCCTTTACACAAACGAGCATATTTAGAAAGGTAGGTTCTATTTATAGTTTAAATTTAATTAATTAATTTAATGAACATGTTGTTGTGTTTGTTTTGTATCAGACCTGGTTTAAGTGCTTTACAGATATTAACTAAATTCTCAAAACAGCTCCATGAGGGTAAGAACTAGTATTGTTATGATTTACAAGTGAGGAGATTGAGGTTTAAAAGGTTATAGAGTTTTCTTAGTGTCACACAGGACGTAACCAAGTCAGAACTAGAATTCTATTCTGTATTCTGTGAAAAGCCAAATTTTATACCTTGAGCACTATATTCAGTTGCCAGTCATTTGGATATTGAGTTGTAAACATAAATTATTTTTAGAGTAATTATGTAGGAAAGAACTTCTTCAGAAAATTTCGTATCTATATCTTTGTTCTCATAATCTTTATAAAAAATTTAATTTTAGTTGTGGATATGCTTGAGTTATACCTGTATGAAACTTGAAATATTTAAGTTTTTTTCATTTTAAAATATCTTTTTATCACAATTTAAATTTTTTTTACATTATCCTGGCAAATGTTTTACTCTGAATTATTTTGGAGAAAAACTGCAAGGTTAGAATGTTATAATTTTTTGTGTGGTTATAGCTAAAAAATTTACTTGATGTCATGCTCTTTATCTCATTGCATTTTTTTTACACTTATTTCCTTCATCTATGCCATAGGAAATAAACTATGTAATTCCTTTTTGGTATCTAGTGGACAAATATAGACTTAAGATTTTTTTTTTTTCTTTTACTGCCTAATTTACTTTTTTTTTTTTTGCAACTTTTTATTATGACCAATTCAAACATATGGAAAGTTGATGGACCAGAACAAGGAAGAACAACAGAATGGCATTCGTACTTCTCAGACTCCAAGGTTGTTCACAGTTCACCATGTCTGCTGTGTGCATGTGCAAACATGCATAAGTATGTGTAAAGCAGCATGTTGAAATCAATCACAGAAAACAGGACACCTTAATAGTAGATGGTTCTGCTGCACTTTCTAAGAATAAAAACATATTCTTATAGTCAAAATACCATTATCGCATCTAGCAAGTTTATTTAAAATAGGAAGTATATAAGATAGAATTTAGGAATTTATTTCAAATAGTAGCACGTACTATTTAAAAACTTGTGTTTTGTTATATATTGTGATGGTTTTTTTTTTTTTTCAATGTATACCAATTTGGGGGAAGTCGTGCTGTGTGGTGTAATCATGGATCGTACATTCCTGTAGAATGTGCATATGGGCAATCTCTCCCATTGCTCTACCACATGGAATGCTGCCATAATCTGGATTGCGGAGCAAGATACAGCTCAAAAAAACCCTAGATTTAAGTTGCATTTCAGTCTTTATTAAAATTTCTGTTAGCTTAAAGCTTTATTTAGGGCATTTCTTTAATCTCTTCTCATTGTTTTGCATACATTAATATTCTGTGATTAAAATTTTAATATTATTTTTAAATTTTATTATTTTATTTGTTGTTAAACTCTGAGATAGTAATAGTTAGAAAAATATGATTGTTTTAGGCATATAGGATAACAGATTATACTGTTAATTACAAAAAGACATTTATTTTAAATGTTTATGTGAAAGGTACACATTTGAAAGTTCAGTAGTAATTTGTATTATTCAGTTGAATTTCAAAAAATATGAAAGAATCTCATATTTTTTCTTACTCTGTCTTTCCCTTTCATGATAATTGGTGCTGATTTGACTATATTTATCATCTCCTAATTTCAAAATGGATATTTTTTCTATAAATATTTTAAAATTTATATATTTTCCTTTTGTTTTAGAACATATGAGAAATAACCACTTTCTCTATTTTTCCCTGTTCCAATGAACTTCCTACACATAATTTTATTTTGATTGGTATAAAATTATTCAAAATTGCCAAAAATATTATGAAAAACATTATTGCTCTCAATAGTCTATAAACACTTTTTTCAATTCTATAATTACTGTTATCCTTATCATTACTTTAGTATCAGCTAAGACATTTCTTTGGTCTCATAATTGTCCCCCTTATAAATCTATTTATATGTGTTTCAGGCCTATCTAATATAAATATAGTTACTACATAATGGTCATTCCAAATACATATATGCCATACTTTAAAAATGTTTCTTGCATCTGCTTAAGAATGAATATATTTAAGTATTACCTCATCTTTCTAAAATGTTCACTCAAAAAATTTCAAAAATTTTTCTCAAGATACACAGCAAAAATGTAACCATATAATGCAAATAATTAAGTAGATTATTGGTCAGTGAACAAGCACTCTAACCTTATAAGGACTTATTTGATTTTTCTCTCAGAAGCTTATATGGCAATATATTTATTATTATTATTTTTTAGCTCCAATATAGGTAATTAGGTCTCAGTATTAATTACACAAGAAATCTATACATTGCGAGGACTGAGCACAGTTGGTTGTCTTCTTGATTTCTACTGTCTGTTGTTGTCTTGATTCAGAGGCTTTCTGAGAGGCTCTCTTGGTGGTGCAGATTTCTCGGCACTTGTTCTGGTGTCATTAAGTGGTTTTTCTGGTTGCTCAGTGGTACCTCTTCCTTTTTTGTCTAATAAGACTATGAGCAAAATAGAGAGAATAGGGAACAAAATTGGGCGCAGCATTTCATGAAAGCGCTGGAATATGAATCAAAGATTTGAATTTTTGCCAAATATTCTGCCTTCTTGCATATGACAATACATTTACCTTTTCTAATCTTTGTTGGTAAAAATGCAAGAAAACATATTTCATTATTTCTCTCCTCTCTTTCTTTTGTGCTATAAAATTCTTTACATAAATTTTAATTTTTTCTCAAATTTCATAACATAACAGAGTATATTTTGTAGCTGAACATTTATCTGGATTTTTATCTTGTAGCTTTTTGCTAATTACTGGTTTTTTAAATTAGACAAACTAATTTTCAAAATGCACTTGACTATTATAAAATATGATTAGCTTTTAAAAAGTTTCAAAATTGAGGATAGCTTTCAAGCAAAACTTGCACTATGCATTTGACTTTCTAATGTTTTTATTTCCATTTGCTGATTTGGCATCTGAAAATATTGTTTGCATTGAGGAATAGCTGGAATGCAGACAACAGGGCAGAACAACTTGGTGTCATTCTAGATAACACTGTGATGTTGAGGTTGCAGTGAAGAAAAAAATGCTTCAAATTATCGCTAGATGACTCAATTATCATGATGTCCAAATAAAGTAATTGAGCCTGCTGTTTGAATCCCCACACCCCATCCCTCATTTCTAGTTACCAACACTGATTGCTGTAGAGTTTTTACTCGCTTCAAAAATTCATGAATATTCATAACTCTAACACTTTAAGACCACATTTTTAAAAATGTCTGAAGTTCTATAGGCTGTTACTATGGTTTATTTGCAAGAATTTTAAAGTACTTTGAGATTAACTTATTTTCTTTTATTCTTTAAGGTGGACTTGGAGACCATGGTATATCAAAGAAACGAGGAGCTCTCTACCAACTTATAGACAGAATAAGAAGAATTGGCTCTGGTATATCAATGTTTAAAGTTGCAGACACTTGACTTGATGTACAGTAAATATTATAGCAGTTCAGTTTATTAAAATCCGTGTGCCATTACAATGTAAAGGATATTTGTAGAAGTTTGTATGTTGTTAGCTTATATTTTACTTAAGTTTTTTAGAACTTAATTTAGGACAATTTGAAATGTCTCTTTAACTTATTTTAAGCATCCCCTCGTTTAAAAATGTATCAGGTATGTTTTATTATCCATACTTAATTTTAGCTAACTATCACACCAAAGTATTTTTATAAAGTCTAAAACTACATCAATTTTAGTCAAATGAAAAAATATGATAGCTATTTGTTTTGAATAAAATCAACTTAAATTGACAAATTGAGTTATTAGATTTACATAAGTTATAATGTTTTTGACCATTCAAAAATATTATTATTATGTATATAAAACATTCAGAAAAACAACCTCTGGTTTTGTAATTAGTTAATATTTATAGTATTGAGTTTTTAAACTGCTATTTGTAGACTTTTAGAGTTGTTTTTCTAAAAGTCCCTTACAGCTTATATTTTAACATCACTTAAATTGATGGATTATTAATTAAATACTCCAAGTACATACTTTCAAAGTATAATTTTTCCAAGCAAAGATGAAAAGATTGAAAAGTTAGACCTGTTAGCGACGCAGGCAGAGGGGGCATGCATTTAAGATTTGTTGTGTCAAAGTATATACTAATGGCAGGAAATTTGTATCAACAGTGAAAGATAAATAAGAAAGAATAATCATGCAAATTTAGGGAGAAGAATAGTAACACAAATATGAAATGTCACCAAGAAAAGTAAGAGACTTACAGACTTTAATGCGGCTCCAGGATAGAATGCCCTCTGTGTTAGCCTGTTCGTGTCTGTACTGATCTCTAAATCAGCTGCCTACTTTGACATGAGTCCAGAGGCGACTGGAGTGTCCCAGGTGGCTGAGATTCTATCTGTCTTACTGTTGTTTTGTTTAATGTCTCTACCATATAATATTCATAATTTTAGACTGTGCTGTAGAATATCAATTCTGATCTAAAGGATTAGGGATTTAGTAGGAATAAGAAGAATATTGATATCATAAGACTAAAAAATAATATCTGTTTTATCTGCTGGTAAATTGGTAGTGAGCCAGTAAGTTAGAAAACAATAAATATACTTTCTATGACCTGTAAGCCTGCCTGGCTTCTATCTGTTGCAGACTGTTGTACAAAAATTCATCAAAATTCAGTCACAGAGTATTAAGAAACAGTAGTTTGACATGAAATACTTAAATATTTTAATGCTTTTTTGAAGCGAGTAACATCATTGAAGTTTTTCTTTAGTGCATTTTGACTTCAGGCATATTTATACATATATGTAAATAAGACATTTCAACTTTTGTCCTTTAAGAGGTAAACGATTCTCTGACCGAGAACTTCTGTTTCACAGAATGTTTTAAATGTCACTGCAGGCTTGGAGCAAAACAACACAGTTAAGGAAAAAGTACCTCTCAAATTCTCAGGGCAAAATGAGAAAAATCGAGTTCCCAGAGCTGCTACATCAAGAACTGAAAGAATATGGCCTGGAGGCGTTATTCCTTACGTCATAGGAGGCAACTTCACTGGTAATACGCTCCCAGAGTGTGTTTTGATAAGGAAATAAAAACCACTGTACATATTAAGTGTGTATTTTTATAGAATGTTAATATAGAAAACATAGTATTTCATCAAACTTGGAAAAATACTCCATTAGTCCAGCTTATTAGTTTAAATGTCTTTGAAACGGAAAAAAAATCTTTAGTCTTATGTTCTAGTCTAGTTTAGTCTAAAGAGTTTTTTGATTTTTCAGCTGAGTTTCAAATGTGCCCATGATATCTGGAAGCTGATCACTCTTTAGCTGACAGGAAAAATGTATGTCTCATTTACAGAGCCTTGTACACACATATTTGTAGAGATAGTGAGCTCTAACTCTTGATTATAACATGAGGGTCCATTCTTGACGATGACTCATTTGCGGTGCTATAAACTAGTATTCTTTGGTTGATGACAGTGGTGGCGTTCAGAACTGCCTAGCCAGACTAAGGATAGAAGGTCCCACTAGAAGCATTCTTCCTGGGGCAACCGCTGTTTTATTAACATCACACATTTCTTCCAGGCAGCCAGCGAGCCATGTTCAAGCAGGCCATGAGGCACTGGGAAAAGTATACGTGTGTGACTTTTATTGAAAGAAGTGATGAAGAGAGTTACATTGTATTTACCTATAGGCCTTGTGGGTAAGTAGAACTAGGAGGTTACTTCAGTTTAGAAAGAAAGAATTAAAAATCCATTGGTGGGATTCATTTATTCATATTTGCTTAGTATCTTGGGCCATGAGAAATATGACCTTTACATAAGAAAATGTTATATATTAGATACATATACTTTTTGATCACAGACCTTTGTGCATCTACTGCAAATGGATTCCTCTACCACCTCAGCTGCTTTCTCCTATAACAATGGCATTGCCAAAATCCCACTCACTTGAGTTAAAAACTTCAGTATTGCTGTGTAGTATTTTGTTGTGCCCCCTCAAAAATATGTGCAGTAAGTTTCTGTTGATATCCATGGTGTTTTTTAGTTTTCACCTCTCTGAATGTCAGCACCCAAGGTCATTATCATCTCACACCTGGTCTATTCCATCTACTTTCCTGTCTTACCTCACTAGTTCACTGCCACTAGAATTATCTTCTAGAGATAGTGATCAGAACACAATAGCACACTTTCTAAGATTCTTTGATGTTTGCACCTATATTGGTGTTTTTTAGATTTGCTTCTTACAGGATAACAAATACTTTCTCAAAAAAATTCTGTAAGTTGTGAAAAGGATAAAAACAGGTATATCTGCAGCACTGTGCCAGTGAATGTTATGAATATTCAATTAGTTGAAAGGAATATGTTTTCTAAACATCTTTAAAAAGGGAACACCCATCCCATACTTTTAAAATTAAGAACATATACCAATACCCCAGAACATTTTGGAAAATGCTGACCTGAGAATAAACCCAAAATTTATTGATATAGCATTTAAAGGATGCTATGGGTTTCTGATAAATTCTACTTTCATCTTCCACATCTCTCCAGAAATCCCATTATCCAACTTAGATACAATAATAACAGTTCTCCAAGCAATTTTTTATACTTCAAAATACTTTTTATTGTGGAAGTTTTCAAACTATTCTCCCCTGTATTTCCAACTAATTAGAATTTATATGTAAATATTAGATTAAATTTAGCTTGATTTTTTAAAAATTTGCTAAGAACACTTGGCTGGGTGTGCTGTCTACTTTATATTGTCTCACATCCAGAGGCACATGTGCCTAGAATGCCCGTTTTAGCAAATCAGTGATTGATTAGTGGACTCAAGTGGTGGCAGCCAGGGCCTTCCATTGTTAATATACCTATAATTATAAAATAGTGATTTTCTAATTTTTTTTTGTTCCTTCTACATTTATAGTGGACATTCTTCTATAAAGAAGAATTTTCTCTAAACTACTATAATGATTTTAATACCCTATAAGGTAGTTCTAAAAGAAAGTCAAATACATGCTTAATTATTTTGAAGAAAATAATTCTTACCCTGATAACATGTACTTTTTTAGGGGAAAATATGTAATTTAACTACATTTTGGAGGGGGAGCATTATATCACATTTTTTTGTTAAACCATATTTTCTTAGAACACTTAATTTAACTTAAAGTAATATATTTTAATTGTGGCCCTGTCTGAGTGACATGAAGACACATTGTACATCATTGCCTTTGTAGATATTTTTGGATAGTGCCATAAATGTTTAGTTATGGCTTATCGAGCAATGCTTCTTTCTAAATTGCTCTAATTTTAACTTGATAAGTGTTGGTTACATTTGAAATGCCTCTTAGTTCTTTTTATCTACTTAATATTTAAAAGGTCCAAATCTACATCATCCTTCCTTCCTTCTGATTACCTAATATGAATGGATATAGCTCAACTTACATATTTCTAAATACATAATGTATTCAGATCAATACATTTTTTTCCTCCTTCCCGCCCTTCACTTTCATAAAGCAAACACATCCAAAGCACTGATCACTTATTTTAATGCTCAATTTCTGTTTGCAATACATTCATATTTATATTAATTTTGAAATTTATTTTCTAAATTTCCCACTCCACTTGATTTATCTTGCCAAACTATTTTTCCCCATTCATGATCATGTCTTGATCACCTACATATAGAGCAGAGGGCTAACGGGTTTTTTTTTAGTTAACGGTATTTTTGCTACCGGTATTTTTGCAGCTTGAAATACCTTGCCTTCTGTTTGTATCTGTGGAAATCTTTTTCCTCTTTCATTCTCACCTCCTTCTGAGCTGCCCACGGTTTTACTGAGCAGCTGTGGGGCTTTACTACCTGCAGCTGTGATAATTGTATGAACCCCACAGCGTGTTCAAGCGTCTGTCTTCCTTAATGACTGGGGATGTCACTTACCTCTGTGTCTCTTGTGACCCCAGTCCTCTGCTCTATATGTAGGTGATCAAGAAACTACCAACAGTTTAAACATCATCTAAGTACAGGTATAATCCTCACACACAACAAAAGAGAGTAAGAATTTAAAGCTCTGTAATCCCAGCACTTTGGGAGGCCGAGGCGAGTGGATTGTCTGAGCCAGCAGGTTCGAGTCCAGTCTGGGCAATTTGGTGAGACCTCATCTCTACAATTAAAAAAAAAATCAGCCAGGCATAGTAGTGCGCGGCTGTAGTTCTGGCTACTTGGAAGTCTGAGGTGGAAGGATCGCCAGAGCCCAGCAGGTTGACGCTGGGGTGGTCATGAGTGTACCACTTCATTCCAGCCTGGGCAACAGAGTAAGACTCCAACTCAAAAAAAAAAAAAAAGAATTTAAAGCCATTTAAAGACAATTATTTTAGAGACGTGAAAACTAAAGTTCTGACTTGCCCAAAGATACTTAAATTTGTAGTTGCACAGATAATCTGAAGTTAGACTCTTGAGTATTAATATATACATATATTTGTGACTTTTATAGTAGTAATGCTGCATTTTGGTGATTTCTTTTGGTACTCTTTTTACAGTTCAAAGTTTGCCTTGTATTATTTTTTCAGTGACAAGGATAGTAGTTTCTGTAGCAATTGACTGTTGGCCTGCTGATCATTCTAATCATTTTATGACTTCTAAATTTCACTTAGAATTACCATTACTGGCCACAATTTATAGAAAAGTTATTGCATTGTTTTTCTATGATAATGTTGCACTTAAATCTCATAAAGTTTTCATTTAAACTATTAAAGAGTTTGGCAGTTGATGTTGCACAAAATACTTTGGGTCAACTACAATAAGATATTATCAAGTCAACACTTAACACTCCTATGGGACTTTAACATTAGGTCTTTTATCTCAGAACAGTTGTGTCATTAATTGTATAGTAGCATTTAACAATGTCTGATCAGATTCTTCATGGAATATGGAAAACCTGCAAGGTGGTGCCCTTGATACCGATGGCAACATACATCAACTCTCCTTCTAACATTAATGTGGTAGAAACACATCTTATCATTTAATATTACTCTTATCACTCTCATTTGGCTTCCACTAAGTCAGACAACTTGTAGCTCTCACATATATATTTTAAAATTAGAGCTAATATAACCTCCTCCACATTTATAGGAGGGACTATTAAGTATGGGACCAGCTGTGTCTTTTAGAAAATTGTATTTTCCACCTTATTCTGCTATAATCAGCTTTTATTAAATTAATGCTTATTGTGCCAGACCTTTAGTAAGTGGGAAAGTAATAAAATATAAAAAGCAAAAGTAGAAGTTAGAACATTTTGTTGCAGTGCATGTTTATCTTAAATTGTATTATAATTGTACACACATGTTTCTGTGTATCTGTATGTATGTTTGTATATACATGTGTGTTCCTAAATATATGATCTCTCTGATGGATCTCCAGTGGGACATATGCATTATTTAACTGCCTGCTTTATACTGGTAAGTGGTTTACCATGCTGGTGAAAGGTTTGAACTGAACTATAAATATTTTTCAATGAATAGTTATTATCATCAGTGCCACTTATTCATTTTACAAGATGATTACTAACTATCAGCAAAATGTGAGTATTTTATAGGAGAGTCTGACTGTATTCTTTGTAAGAGATTTATGTAATTAAATGCAGTGCCTTAGCCTATGATGCAACCTTACATAATTATACTATTTCTCTTCTTCTATTACGTACTTTTTTGAACAATTTTGCTTTTTCTATATACTGATGTTTAATGATCGCCCAAAAAAGAACCGATCAAACTAAAAAACTTAAGAGTTACCTATCTTAAAAACTTCTAAATTTTGTGTTTTAAGTGGCATTTAACTTTGGTTTATTTGGTTATTCAAGTGCAATGAAAGTGACTTAACCATTCTATACTCGATGGATTCTCACTTTGTTCCACTTGTATACAAAGTTTTGGGAATATAAAATTGTACATGAGGTGTTTTGTCTTCGGACGTGCTTACGTATTTAGGCAGAGGGTGTGCTTGCCAGAATTCTTGTTTGCAGACAACAGAGCCCGGCCAACTTAAGCAGAAACAGTAACTTGCGGAAGGTTATTAGTGATGTTTAGAATCATGAGAATGGAAGATACTGGAGGGCCAACGAGAGGATGGGACTCAGCAAGTGTGTCTGGCTCGTCTGCCAACTGTCGTCACGTGTACTTGGAAGCCCCTGCATACTTCCCTCTCTCACGCATCTGAGGCCCGCTCTTCTGGAAACCCCCACGAGTCCCACGGTGTGCGAACGCTGTCCTAGGGCTCACCTCGCAAAGTGGGAAGCAGAAGAGAAAGTCACATGTGTGAAATGTCAGGATGGTGATTTACCGTACCTTCAAAGAGAAGGAAAGCAAAGGAGGCGGGGCGGAGGAGCATCTGTGCAAGGCCCTGAAAAAGGCCAAAGAACCACGTGGGTATCCGGGAGAACAGCGCTCCGGACGGAGATGCGCAGGAGGGAGGTCCTGGCAAGAACTTGCTCCGGTGTTCCAGGCACTGCCAGGACTTGACAGTCAGAGCGATGAGCTTTGTGTGCTCAGACATTCTCGTCAAGATTGTGTAGGGTCTTGGAGTTTTTGTAAGGACTTTAGAGGGCTGGTTTCGGTCAGCATTGTGAATTTATGCACTGGTAACAAATTACCCCTCAGTCTCAACCGTGTAGAGCCAGGAGCATTGACTCCTCACTCGTACACGAGTCTATCACGAGTAAGCTGTGACCCTCTCCACAGTGCCATCAACTAGTCCCCAACCCTTCTCTGGAGCACAGCAGTTCTTCCTGTGAGGATGGACCAGAGGCAGCATGGCCAGGCGTGTGTTGGCGCTTAAGATTCTCTCCAGAAATGACGTGGTTTGCACTTCCATGACATTGTCCAGAGTGAGTCACGTGAACCTACCTAGCATTCGTTGGGTAGGAGGTGCAGTCATCTGCTAGAGGAAGGTCATGGGCACTTTTGAATATGGACACGATTACCTGCAGAGCCAAGAGAGGCTGTGGAGTAGAGACTTGGGTAACCTGACCAAATTTTAAAATCTCTTCAGTGCTGAGAAGAGACTGTGGGGAGAGGGCCCAGCTGGCAGAAGCCTTCAGCAGTCCCCTGACAGGTGATGGCTCCGTCAGCAGGGCAGGTGGTGAGAAGGGGACTGACCCATGCAGGTTGGAGGTAGAGCCAGCAGGATTTACTGCTTAGAGAGTAAGTCAGGGTTCGAGAATATTGGAGGCTTCTGCCTGGGAAACTGGAAGGTGGGAGCTGCTGCTACCTGGGATGATGAAGTCTAGGTAGGGCAGTTTTTCTGGAGAAGAAAGTTGGGGACATATTAAATTGTGGTGTTTATGATTTATTCAAATGACGAAATTAAGAAAGATGGGTTGGATATTCAAGAGTGCTATTGCACAGGTGGTGCCTGCTTGTGGTGGGGACTGTTTTAAGTACCTATGATAAATCAATGGAGGAGAGACAGATCCTTGTTTGTCTTCTATTCCAGTAGTGAAATTTACATTTTAAAGGAGTTTGCTATGGAAAACGCATTAAATTTAAACAAAGAGGATTGAGTTTTTTTTCATGTAAAAGCATAAAGGGATTAGCCTAAGCCATTGGAAGTACCTAACACATAGCAGATGAAAAGGTGGAACCAGCTTTAGAGATGCCCTGTCAGGTTTCCTGACAGGAGGGTTCCAGAGCTGGTTTGGTCTATTAACTCGAGGCAAAGTAGAGGGAGAGGATTTATCCTCTATGACTTGAGGAGAGGTGAATCTTCTCTAGAGATGGTGAAATCTTTTCTTGAGAGTGCAGATAGACCATACAATGGCACACAAATTAGAAACAAAAATTCAGGAGCCATATTCAAGAAAATGACATGAAACCTGGATGACATTAGAAACTAAAATAATATTTAGACATGTTTAAAGCACATTTTAATAAATTGCACGTTACCCTGTCATCCATGACTATAGTTGTCTAAGCATATATTTAGTTCTTTTTAAATCTGAGAGTCTAGAATTCTTCTGTCCCTAAGACCTTTAGTTAGGGAGCAAAGCACCACATTTTTTTTCTTTCACAAGATGATTTAAAATAATAGCAGTATGAATAAGCAGTGTGAAGCCTGTTTTTCCTTTCTGTTATGAAACTCCATCTTATAGGAAATTGTTATGTGTGTAATTATACTAGAAAGGGTGTTTTAGATTAAATACACTGACCACATTGCTTTACTGACTCCCACATTTCGATTGGGGTGGGGCTTTTTTTTTCCTTCTGAATCTAACCAGCAAGAATGACTCAGTGTGAGTAATTTTGTTACTATTTAACCATCAGCTATTTCAGTTTCATTACCATTACTTTAAGGTAGCAAATATTTACATTTGCATCTCTCCAAGATATGTAAGTTTAGTTTTTCTGTATCTAGTACTTTTTGAGGTATGTAGCAAATAACTACTTTAGCATGTAATAAATATCTATGCATGGGTTAAGACATATTATTTAGGAAAAAACTACATGGGAGCAAAAACATCATTCAATGATACTTCCTTCTGCCACCCGCTGTCTTCTATTACTGGTTTAGTAAACTTAATTAACTGCTGTAATAGATTCATAAATAATGAATATAAGTTATTTCATCTAACTGGCATGGTATTGGTTAAAATGCTGAAACATTTAAAGACAGCAGAAACAAATGGGGAAAAAGGACAAGGGGATGAGGGTTTATATTTGTAGAAAATAAAAAACACCTTCAAATGTACTCACCCCAGAAATTGAAATTGTGAAATTCCTTTTATTCATTTGGACAGTTAATTTTTGACAATTTTTTCTTTTGCTTTAATAAATCAGAAAAGATGTTTGGCAATCTCTGCACACTATGATTACCAATTATTCAAGACCAATTATTTAGTGCCCTCTGTTGCTGTCCTGCAGATATACTATTTTAACTTAAACCCCAATTGTTAGGATTTTAGATAGAATTTCATTTATGTTTATTATGGAAGTTACTATAGGAACTATAGTATTATACATATTGCAGTTATTATAATTTTACATCATTTAAAATTTATTTTAAAGTGGGTGTCTCATGCACTCAGTTTCACATGCATATCCTGGAATCTTCTGGACTGTCACACATGCACACGTGAATGCACACACACAATGAACAGATGGAGCTTTATATTTTGGATAGAGAAACATCATTGAATTTGTATAAATATCACTATGTTGGTAAAAATTTATAGAAAGATAATCCTGGATGTTTCCCATTCTGTTTAACAGTCCAGCAGAATCTTTCAGAAAGTGAAATAAAAATTTACACTCAATTAATAGAAAGACCATTTGACACAAATCACATAAATCTCATAATTCCTGGAACCATTGCCAATTACCCATTTTTCTTTACCAGTTGTCTTGGTCCATGCCGTCTGCTGCAACAGAATGCCATACCCTGGGTGGCTGATACGCAACAGGCATTTATTTATCACAGCCCTGAGGCCGAGTACTGCAGATTTCTGTGTCTGCCAAGGGCCTTGCCTTGGTGCATGGACAGATGCGAGATGTGTTCTTGCTGTGTCCTTGCATGGTAGAAGGAGTCAAGGGAGCTCTTTGGGACCTCTTTTACAAGGACACTGATCCTACTCATCAGGGCTCGGCCCTCATGACCAAATCACCTCCCAAAGGCCCCACCTTCAGATGCCATCTCCCCGGGAGTTAGTTTTCAACAAATGATTTCGGGAGGGCATAACCATTTGGTCTCTACCACTAGTTAAACTTTCATCTTAGTTAAGACACCTTTTGAAAATAATTTTCTTCAAGTAACTTTTAAAAAATGTTTTCTCCTTTTATAGAAAACAATTCTGTGAGTAGGAAAAGTACTTTATTTTTTGTTAATCAACATCTTTCATAAATGAGGTTATGTTTTTTTCTCAAGGAGGAAAAATAAGTGCTATTTTATTTAATACTGAAATGATATTGAATTATCACCAGATAACCACACTGACAATGTAGTTGTCCAAATAATTAATATGAATTGTGGGGATAAAATAACTATGCATTGATGTCTTACGCTTAACTATATGTCAAAAAGCAAGTCAATCATCATCATCATAATGACTATTTTCTGATGTATCTTCTGAATACTTCTAAAGATAATAAGGCATATCTTCGAATATACAGATAGTTATAAAAGCAATTGAATTGACTATTTGGAAATTTTTGTTACACATAAATTTTAAAAGGATAGCAGAAACTATGTTTATTAACAAAAAGCTATTCTGCCTCTGAATGTGTTGGATTTTATAGTTCATTACAATTCTTTACAGAAATGTCACCATTCTGTAAGCCATCCAGCATCACGCTGTCTACCACCATCTCCATTTTGTACTTTATTCCAGGTGCTGCTCCTACGTGGGCCGGCGGGGAAATGGACCTCAGGCCATCTCTATTGGCAAGAACTGTGATAAATTTGGAATTGTTGTTCATGAATTGGGCCACGTGATAGGCTTTTGGCACGAACACACACGACCAGATCGAGATAACCATGTAACCATCATAAGAGAAAACATCCAGCCGGGTGAGAGGCTAGAGGGTGTGCTGGGCTTAAGGCTGACTAGGTATTTTTGAATTATATTTATCCAGTTGATCAGCTAACTTCTCAAAAAAATGTAATTTTATTGTTTTGATATTGTAGAATCAACATTTTGCTTGATTATAGATTACTCATGCTGATTTTATATTTTACAATTTTTACTATAGATGGACTGATTATATATGTTTTTAAAGCTTGCTTTCTTTTTTAAGATTTGGCTGTTTTATTTCTAAATTTTTGTGCTTTCCAAGAATGGGTGTGAACTATTGAACCATAAATTAATGTTGTTCAATGTTTCTTTTTCACTTAAGCATTTTTTGGAACTTGGCTCTATAATTTACATTATAGGGACTGTAAAAAGATAGGATAGGATTTGCCATGAAATGTGCTGTTACCATAGGAATCTATGTTATACCAGGTACAATTTCTGGAGAAAATTCCAATGAAATGAGTCATTTCCAGGAAAGTCTGAATAGTTTTGGTGAGATTTTCCTCTAAAATTGACTACCCTAAAGACAAATTCTTGGGAATGGTTTCAGCAGTTGAAATGTAATATCTAACTAAAATCTAATTTTCTCTAACAGTTGATGTGTGATAATAGCTTCATAGCTTTTTATTTGTCTAACTTTTGCATTCATAAATATCAGTTGCAAAAAAATCTTGCTTGAAATATTTTTTGTAAGATAGTATGTATTTTAATCATAAACAAAGTAAATATTTGCTCTTATTTTCTTTTTCATGGCCAGTTTTACATTGCAAACATTGAGTTCATGTTTGCAATTAATCTTCTGTAATTAACAGCACTCATGTCTTGATTTGTTCATCATATATTTGGTGCTCATCGTATTATTTATTGAGGCAATATTCAGTGTTGGAGAGAGAGACTGTCCTGAAAAAATGCAAAGCTTAGCTTGAGGTGTGTGCATATATACAAATGATACATGTGAATGAGAAAAGTGACAATGATCATGTGTTGAAATACTGGATACCGCTGCACTCTGGCCTGGGCAGCAGAGTGAGACTTCGACTCAAAAAAAAGAAAAGAAAAGAAAGAAAATGCTGTAGAGTCCAAACAAGATGTGGTGAAATGTGCCCTGGCACATTAACAAGATGTTGCAAAGCAACTAAAATTTAGAAGTAAAGTAGAAATATTACTGGTGGGGAGAAGAGTGATGAAGTTTTTAGATTGAAAGAGCATCATCGATATTCTATTTTACTTACATAAAATAGAATCATTCTATCTGCTCATTTTAATTGTGTGGCAAAGCCGGGCTCAGTGGCTCAGCCTGTAATCCCATGCCTTGGGAAGCTGAGGTGAGTGGATTGCCTGAACCCGCAGGTTCGAAACCCACCTGGGCAACTTAATGAGACCTCATCTCTACAATAAAAAAACAAAAAAAATTAGCTGGACGTGGTAGCGAGCGCCTGTAGTTCCAGCTACTTGGAAGGCTGAGGCGGAAGGATCACCAGAGCCCAGCAGGTCCAGGCTGTGGTGGCCGGGAACAGCCACTGCACTCCAGTCTGGGCGACAGAGTGAGACTCCAACTCAAAAACAAACAAACAAACAAAAAAAATAAGTTAATTGCGTGGCAAGATTACTGTACTTGGTATTACCTGGGGAGGTTAGATCATAATTTAAAATATGAGTATAGGAAATTTTATCCTGTAGCTACTGGAAAATAATTGAAGGATTATGAGCAGAGAAATTTCCAATTTTTAAAAAAGAGAACGTTGGTAGCTGTAGGAATCTTTAGAGGTAGGGGGTTGGGAGGATGCACCTGAAGTCAAGGACACCTAGCCTTGGGAAGAAGCCTAGGGAAGTAGCTCCTGAGGGGACAGGTCAAGAGGAAGGAAAGGGAAGAGTCTTTCAAAATATTTTAGGAGGAACATCATCCTGTGAGGGGGGGAATCTTCAAAAGTTGTGTTTTAGGCAATGAGATGAATAGTGATACCATCACATGAAACATTCGATATCCTGAAATGCTGATAAAGCAGCATGTTTTTGAGAAAGGGAAAGTCATATAATGATTTCACTTAGCATATTCCTGAATTTGAAAACTTTTGGGTGATCCTCATTTGAAAGACAAAGGAAAGGTAAGTCTGAACTTCAGAATGCCTCTAAGGATAAAAATTTGACGAAGATTTGACTATCTAGGAAGAAGTCTGAGGAAGAAGGAAAGAAAGGGATCGAAAATGAGGAGCAACAACATTTCAGCAGCATTTACTAGAATTCGTCCTGAAAGGGTAGGAAGGTATTATCAAAGAGGCAAGAGAAAAATCAGTGGAATGTGATGCCCTGGAAGCCAAGGGAAGAAATTATTTCAAGAATGATGAAGTAGAGCTGGATATCAAAAAGAAGTAAAGAAAATGTATACTCTCCTCTATAGAGGACTATGATGCCCGAGCCAACCATCAAGCTTCATCTTATACCTTATGTCATTAATAGGAAAATAAGAGGAAATAGTAATTCTGAAATTTATTCTAACTACCAAATAAATGAAAAAACGTTTGCTGCTAACCACAGTCATTTAGTCTCCTCTATTTGCCAAACATATTGTTATGTGCTCTAAATCAATTTATAAAGGAAGTAACTTTCATAATGGTTCTCGTTTAAAAACAGAATTCTGGTTCAACATAAATATGTACCTAAAACAAGGAAAAAGTGTATAAGTAGAGTAAATAAATGTATAATCTTAAAACATTCCAGGCAAATTATGGGTCCTAATTTTTTTATATGAAACTTTCAGACCAGTAGAAAAAGTAATTTATTAGTGAGATTTCCTGAGTGATTGGAGCTACCAGAGCAGAGCAATTCTAGTATGAGAGCATTCATGTTGGAGTGTAACGTTCAACAAATTATGGCTTGCCCTGACTCAGAAACTTAAGATTAAGTGCTACTCAAGGGCAGTGGCTAATAAGTACAAACTTTGGTTTCACATGTGTGTGCAAAATAGGTGGTTTTGTAGGAGTCAGATTGGTATAAGGATTGGGTTACTTTAATTCATGATGTAATGATGTAATACTCTTTCAAGAAGGAGGCTTGTCTCTCTCTCTCTTTTTTTTTTTTTTGCCAAGTGTGATTTTCCCTGGTGCTGTGTGTAGCTCTGATTCTCTTCCCTTCTTTCATGAAATAAGTCTAATTTTCTTTTATGTGGATTATTTATTGCCATGTTCCTTGTAACTAATAAATGCATCAAAACATGTACATGTTAAATGCTCAGTTATGTGTACTGAAATGTATTGCTGAAGTGCTTCTTGTTCCATTTTTAGGAATTTTTATGGAATGGATATTTTGCTTCAGTTAATAATCTGTTCCCATATTATGCTCTAAATTGAACTCTTATGTGTTAATAGCTGTAAAACTAAGTCCACGGTAGAAGTGGATATGTTATATGCCACTTAAAATTCCCTATGAAGACCAAGGTCTTAACGGTTGCCTTTGTCAGGGATTGCAGGGGCTGTGTGTTATTTCCCAAGAATGGTTAACTTAGAAAGATATAGCAGAAATTTGTGGATCACGTAGTTCACTATAAGATCTGGTTAATTAATGTAAAATTATTTATTGTATGAATACATTCCAAGATGGACTCAGACACTTGAGTCTGGGACTTGGATCCGTAGCTCCAGGTTGGTTCCTCATCCTTAGTGCTCAAATGAACACACCAGGTTTCCTTATCACAGGTAGGAGAGACATTATCTGTGGTATCACTCAGCTTTTTTATTGCCTTTTAGAAAACTATTAGTATGATATTTTTATATTTAGTTGAAACATGGCAATTGGAATAAAAATCTATTTAGATAAGTGGCATAGTAGTTCCATTTCAAGCTCTAAATTCGAATTTGGAATTTCAGTGGCTCACATTTATATTTTGATGTTTCAAAGTTTTTTTTAAGTTACGTACATAAGACTTGCATCACCTTTGACTGCCTAAGTTGTGAAAACTAACTCACTGAATTTTAAACTCTATCTGAAGAAAGTATTTGATTCTGGAACCAGTGATGTAGACTTACAAAGTCTGTCCTTTCCAAATTTTAAGAAACAGTGTCACAATACAGATGCAAGCAGGCAGTTGAAAAAAAATTGATTAAAAATGAAGATGTCCACAAGTTAGATGAATAGATGTGGGAAAAAAGGTTTCAAGGCATATTTTTCTTGATCTCACATTGGAACCTCATTTTCATCAAGGACAACCTTGTTTCATTTTTAAATCAAAGTAGAGAATTTGCTGCTGCTGTTTTATTATGAGTGATGAAGTCATACAGCTAATGCCTGCAAAGTTGTGTTTATATTAATATGGTTTTCATATCTTTTCACATTTTTCCATGGAAAGGCTCCAAATCAAATAGGAAGGTAATTTTTGTGGGACCTGGCAAATGTGGGAGACTCATTAGATGAAAACATAACTTTTAAATTTATTTGTACAGTACCAAAAAAGGAGTAAGATTTTAAAGAAGTAAATATTATGAGATAGTAAAGAGTATACATAAAAAACGAACCCAAAGGATGTTTTTGATCATCCACCATTTTGCAGAAATGAATGCTGTGTTCCTATTCTATATTACTTTTTTTATATGACAAGAGAGTCAAGTCATACACTTTGGGTATCTCCCCAGGTGCTTGTAAATACAACCGGCAAGAACAGTCATTCAGTAGAGAACAGAGACAGGTTTTGGAAGGGCTCTTCTGTTCTCTTGTCTGTTAAAAGGCTTCTGAGATTTTGTTTATTTCTATATCTTAGGTCAAGAATACAATTTTCTGAAGATGGAGCCTGGAGAAGTAAACTCCCTTGGAGAAAGATATGATTTTGATAGTATCATGCACTATGCCAGGAACACCTTCTCAAGGTTGGAGTCTCAGGTTATACCTTTTGACTTTTAATTTCTTTCCTCCATGTGGCTCCTCACAGTTATGCTTGATGTTAGAACTAGAACCACTTTCAAATATTGCTGCCTCACTGAAAATAAAGTTAAATACAAAGTTGATTAACATATACATAATTTTTTTTACATTCTCTCCCAAATACATAAATTTAAAATAACTAAGGTGGTATAAATTATTCACAATATTTTATATTTCTAAATCATAAAAATATCCAGTGAAAAGAATTACCAAATCAATTTAAGTTGGCAAAGCATTGTTTGATGAAAATTAGGCATTCAAAAGTTAAATAGGCTACTCAGCTACTCCTTTGGAATGTCACCCTTTATGCAATTTGTTTTATACTGTGTATTTTCTATTGCTCAAGTACCACTTATGCCTGAAATTTATATTACTAAATCAATTGCAAAGAACAGGTTAGGAAGATATTTTATTTCATTTAATTTAGAATTATAGTTCACCATTCATTAACCTTAAAATCATTTCATGAATGACTGACACTATTTTTAAAGAATGGGATAAATTTGGGTTTTGATTCCTTCATTCCAAAGATGATACCACAAGCAAATAGTTCTCAGGTGAGAAATTTAGAACTGTCCAGCCATTGAACTCATCATGTCTATAATTTATGCTCATTTACAGTCATATGTCCATTTCAACTCTTTTTTTTTTGCCAGTTTATGTCCATTTCACAGTTCATTAACATCTATTTCTAAAGGCAAGGTCAGAAAGAAGAGAAAAAAATCAAATTTATTTTCTTGTTTTTACAAAACATTCTTGGTAAAAATAGAGAAAGATGTGTAAATGAACCTTTAAAACTTGGGCACATTTAAAAATTATCCTTTTTGCCCATAACCAAACTTTATTATTAAAAAAATTTCAGTGTTGACTGTATGTTAAAAATTATTCTCTCCCAAAGTATATCATATATACATATGTATTTATTTGTTCAAATATAATAACTGTTAAAATGTGTATTGTGTCTGGAATTTGAATTTTCATTTTGGTGAAAATATAATCCCAGAAATTTGGCCTGAAATTAACTATAAAGAATTATACAATTTCATTTTTAAGTCAGTGCTTGGAATTGAGTTTTCCACTGAAGCACATAACAAATGGGTATTTGAGTCCCAAGTTAGCCAAGGTCCTTCCCTGATAATACAGAATTATATGATTTAGAATAATGTGGGGTTAGACTCCTTGGAACACAGGAGTAGTGGAGATTGGAGAAAAATAATGTATTCCTCCTATCCTTGGTAGATGAAAAGTCTTTACCAAAGTTTTAAATATCTATTTCCCCTTTCTATGCTTTTTTACATGTTAAATCATTTATTTCCCCATGAAGGAATCTGCTCTTGCTGCCTTTGCTCTGTCTCCTCCAAACCTACCACCGTTCTGCGTGCCCCTCAACTTTGACCTACCTTTCTATCCTACTGTTTCAAAACCATCTTACTCATTGTTTATAAGTAAACGTAACATTGCTGCAGTACAAGTGATCATATCTACCTGTTGGAAGGACAGTTGTCTAATTGCTTCAGTTCACATTACGTTTGGTTACATGGATGAATTGTATAGTGGTGAAGAAGTTTGAGCTTTAAGTATACCTGTCATCCCTACTAGTGTATTTTGTATCTGATGGGTCATTTTTCATTTCTTATCCACTTCCTGTTTCTCCCATCTTCCTGAGTCTTCAGTGTCCATTGTATCATAGCTTAGCTCCCACTGAGAATATGCACTATTTGGCTTTTAATTCCTACATTATTTCACTTAGGATAGTGGTCCTGATTCTTTCCCAGTTGCTGCAAAAGGCATTATTTTGTTCTTTTCTTATAGCCTAATAGTATTCCATGATGTGTGTGTGTGTGTGTGTGTGTGTGTGTGTATGTGTATCACATTTTCCTTGTCCACTGATCAGTCGATGGGCACTTAGATTTATTCCACATCTTTGTAATTGTAAATTATACTGTGATAAACATACAAGGACTGGTGTCTTCTTTGCCCTCTTTCCTGCTTTTGTTTTTACTGCATTTGCATTTGGGATTTTAGACAGAGTAGTGGGATTATTGGATTGAATAGCAGATCTTTATTTAGTTCTTTGCAAAATCTCCATACTGTTTTCCATAGAGATTGTGCTAATTTATATTCCCATCGACAGTGTATAAGAGTTCTCTTTCACTGCATTTGTGGCAACATCTATTGTTTTTTAAATTTTGTAATAATGACTATTTTGACTTTTGTAAGGTGGTATCTCATTATACTTTTAATTTGCATTTCCCTGATGATTAGTGATGTTGAGCATTTTTTCATATGTTTGTGGGAAATGTGCATATCTTCTTTTGAGAGATGAGTGTTTATGTCATTTGCCAACTCTCCCAAATAATGGGATTATTTGTTTTTTTCTTGCTGATTTGTTTGAGTGCTTTGAAGATTCTGCATATTACTTTTTTTTAAACCTTTTTGTTTGTTTGTTTTGTTTTGTTTTATTTTTGAGTTGGAGTCTCACTCTGTCGCCCAGACTGGAGTGCAGTGGCCACTCCCAGCCACCGCAGCCGTGATCTGCTGGGTTCCGGCGATCCTTCCACCTCAGCCTTCCTAGTAGCCGGAATTACAGGTGTGCACTACCACGCCAGGCTGATTTTTTTATTTATTGTAGAGATGAGGTCTCGCCAAGTTGCCCAGGTGGGTCTCAAACCCGCGGGCTCAGGCAGTCCGCTCACCTCGGCTTCCCAAAGTGCTGGGATTACAGGCTGAGCCACTGAGCCCGGCCTGCATATTACTTTTTTGTTGAATGTATAGTTTGCAAATATCTTCTCTCATTCTGTAGACTGCCTATTACTCTGCTGATTATTTTTGTGTGTGTGCAAACCTTTTATTTTAATTAAGTCCCACTTAATCATTTTTGTTTTTACTTCATTTGCTTTTGAGGTTTTAAACATAAATTCTCTGACTGGCACAGTGTCCAGAAGAGTTTTTCATAAGTGTTCATCTAGGATTTTTATGGTTTCAAGTCTTACATTTAAGTCTTCAATTCATCTTGAGGATATTTTTGTACGTGGTGAAAGATAGGGATCCAGTTTCATTCTTCTGAGTGTTGCTGTCCGGTTTTCCTAGCATCATTTATTGAATAAGATGTCCTTTCCCCAATGTATGTTTTTGTCTGCTTTGTTGAAGATCAGTTGGTTATAGGTATGTAGGTTTATTTCTGAATTCTCTATTTTGTTTCATTGGTCCATGTGTCTGCTCTTGTACCAGTACTATATTGTTTTGGTTGCTACAGCTTTATAGTATAATTTAAAGTTGGGTAACATGATACCTCCAGCTTTGTTCTTTTTGCTTAGGAGGTTTTGTCCTCCTAAGCACAGGGCTAAAGGGCTATTTGGATTTTTTTTTTTTTGGTTCCATATAAATTTTAGGATTGCTTTTCCTAATTCTTTGAAAAATGACATTGACAATTTGACAGGGATTGTGCTTAATCTGTAAGTTGCCATGGGCATTATGGTCATTTTAGAAATGTTGATTCTTCCATTTCGTGGGCATAGGGATGTTTTGCCATTTGTTTGTGTCATCTATAATTCTTTTCATCAGTATTTTCTTGTTCTCCTTGTAAAGATCTTGCACCCCCTTGGTAAAATATATTCCTAGGTATATTTATATTTGTTTATTATTTATTTTTGGTAGCTATTGTAAATGGAATTGAGTTCTTAATTTGATTCTAAACTTGGCTGTTACTGGTGTATAGCTGTGCTACTGATTTTTGTGTGTTGTTTTTGTGTGAGTTTTTGTAACAAGACTTTATTGAATTTGTCAAGTTCAAGAATCATTCAGAGGATTCTTTAGAACTTTCAATGTATACGATCATTTGTAGGGATAGAGAGACAGGTTGATGTCTTATTTTCTAATTTAAAAACTCTTTATTTCTTTCTGATTGCTCTGGCTAGGACTTCTAGTATTATGTTGAATAGAAATGGTGTAAGGGTGTATCCCTGTCTTGTTTCGTTTCTGAGGGAGAAGATTTCAAATCTTGCCAGTTCAGAATTATGTTGACTGTGGGTTTGTTGTATATGGCTTTTATTATTTTGAGTTATGTTTGTTCTATCCCTATTTTGTCAAAGATTATTATCATGAAGCAATGTTTAATTTTATCAAATAATTTGCCTGCATTTAGTGAAATGATAATATGATTTTTGTTGTTAATTCTATTTATATGGTGAATCACTTTTGTTGACTTGCAAATGTTGAACTATCCTTGCATGTCTTGGATGAAACCCACTTGATTATGGTTAATTATCTTTTTGATGTGCAGTTGGATTTGTTTTGCTAGTATTTTGTTGAGGATTTTTTCATCTATGTTCGTCAGAGATTTTGGTTTGTGGTTTTGTTATTTTGTGGTGTCTTTCCCTGGCTTTAGCATTATGGTGATACTAGCTTTAAAGAATGAGTTAGGGAGAGTTCTCTCTTTTCCATCTTATGGTCTAAGGTATGTTTTTTTCAACTTTCTGTTACGTCTCATTGGGAATATTATAATCAGCCTTTTGAATTCTTTTTGGAATTTTGAAGATTTCATTTTGATTAGGATCCATTGCTGTAGGGTTAATTTGGTCTTTTAAGAGAGTTGTAAAATGCAGGTTTTTTTCATGTTGTCAGTATTATTTTTTTATTTCCTTCTCATGTGGGTAGACTATTTACTCTTATTATTAAGTTTGTTTTTGATCTAACCTTTTTTCTTTCCCTTGAGGATGTGACTTTAATGTGTATACTTTGTGCTCATCTACCTTCGGCTCTGGATGCTTTCAGTGGTGTAAGCTCTGTATGTGCTCCTTGATAAAAGACAATTTATATATGCTGCCTTTCTCAGGTGCTGCTTGGAGCAGCGCTTATTGTATGTGTGTGTGTAGGTTCACTGTCCCCTGTAGGTCTAGAATGTCAGCAAACTCATGAAACTTATCTTGTTTTCCAGTATGCCTTTTTTTTCCAACTGCTGTTTTTCTAGGTTGAATCATTCAACCTTCAGGCTCTTAGAGGGTGGGTGAGATCTGGCTGCAGCTGAAACAGGTGGTTATATGCAGTACCCTTATGGTGAGGAAAAGTCTCAGTCCTGACAGAGGTGACTGGGGGAGTTCTCAGTGAAATGCACTGAGGTCTTTGCTGGGGAGAAGTTGAAAGCCAGTTCAGCTCTTCTACCATGCTGGCAGGTAAGCCATCTGCCTTCCTGTTATACTTTGTCCTGTGTTTCTGGGTTTTCAGATCAGACGTGCACCCCTGCTTCTCTGTAGGGATGCTGGCATGCCGTATAAAGCAAGAGTGGGATTCCTACCCTTGTGCAAGCCTGAGCCCCGAGGGCACACCTTTTGTGAGGTTGAAATTACCAGGAAGTACTGCAGAATCATTAATAGCGAATATCTGCAGGAACTTGACTGCTCCAAGGTTGCTCAAGTGCTAGGGAAGAACCATAGTCTTAGAAACTATTCTGCTGAGCCCAGCACTGAATTTGCCTCTGCTGCAGGAAACTTTCTTGAGGCAGGGAGTTCTGGAACACAGAGAACCCTTCCCTCTGGATTTTTTTTGTTTTTGGTCCCGTGGGGTGCTCCCTTGATGTGATGCAGTCCCCTTTCCCCTGGAAGTGACAATCTGTGAAGGCTCAATTACTTTGAGTCCTTTTGTCCTTCTTGGTCTGGCTGCCCTCTGGGCTGCCACAACCCAGAGTGTGCTGGGGAATGTCTGAAGGGATCTGATGATGTGTAGGCTCAAAGGTTGAAGGTTCCTGAACAGAGTAAAGTACTACAACTGGTGGGTATCCCATATGGCACCTGCTATGCAACTCTGGTCCAGAAGGAAAGGGAAGAGACCTTGCTGAGCTGGCAGCCCACTGCAGTGCCCTCAAGAAGTCCCTAGATCACAGCACACTCCAGTCTTCTGCAACAACTAGAGAGGCCGGAAGCACTCCCACCTACCCTTTCCACAGAATACCAAGTCTCTCAGGGTTTGATCTCTGCTAGCTTTTATTTTATTTTATTTTATTATAAAGATATGGGATACAGTTCAGGGTTAGGTATACAAACGTTGATTATGCAGGTACCCTTGTTGATGAGGTATGCCCCACCCTCCCCTAGCAGTTTCCTTCAACTGCCAATTCCGCTTTTCATTTCTTACTTTTGTGTGTGTGTTGTAGAATCTTTCAATGACAGGTTCTGGGACTTTCCCCTTAACGTTTAATTTGGACTTTGATTATTTACCTATAGTTTTAGTTCTATTTTGTGAAGAAAACTGGTCACTGGTGTTTCTGGGGAGACCTCTGAAGAAGCTCCCTGAGGCTCTGGACTAGTTTGCAAGATATGTAGTGATATGTGCTTTACTGTTATCACCTCAGGCAGGGTGGGTGGTATTAGGTAGAACTGAGTTTAGCTGACTAGTCCTTTGGCTTCCCAGTGGCAGATGTAAGGACCAGCTTTATGGGGTGACAGGGAAATGGTGTCAACTCTGTAAGGTTTCCATATTTGTAAATAGCCTTAGTATGACAGGTTTCTCAACTGCCAGCTATTGTGGTGCTGTGCTTGGTATATGCAGAGGCTCAAGGCCTCCTGAATGGTTGGGTGGTATAGACAATGGTGTTAGCTGAGGTGTGGGAACAGACCTTCCCAAACACCGTGTGTCAGATGTTGTGATGGGTTGTGTCAGTTGCCTTTCAACTGTGGGGGTGCTTGCAGGAAAGAGCCAGCTGCGGTGGCTGTGGCTTTTCTGCTTAGCCTGTGTTGTTCCAGGGGTGTAGTCAGATGTCCCAGGTGATGGGCAGGGCTGTAGGACTCCTACAGTTTCCAGCCTGTATTCATTTTTTGAGGTGGATGGGAAGAAAAGCCAGTTGGGGAGGGCTAAGTCAGACAGGTCTGTGTTCCAGCTCCCTATCTGCAAGCCAGTTGGCAGCACCAGTGGGAGTCAGCATGGAGTCCTCTGGCCACTGGGGTAGTGTTGCCAGAATGAGCAGAGCTGCCTCTGCAGCATAAGAGTTTACATTGGGAGAGGATTGCTGGGGTGATGAGATGGCCCCAGCTCCCTTGCCTTTGATCTAGGCAATTTGCTCTCAGAATGCAAAACTGCACCAAGCCACATATCTTCCTGCACAGATTGCCTGACAGAGGCCCCACAGCAGCAGAATCTTAGTGGGTTTTTTTTCCTATGGTTTTTATGATGTTGCATAGTTTTCTATTATTTCTAGCTCTTTGAGTATTTATTATGAAAGTATGTTTAATCTATCAAATTCTTTTTCTGCATCAGTTGAGATGGTCATGTGATTTTTGTCCCTTATTCTGTTAATGTAATCATTTGAATTTTTCTAGATTTTTCTATTTTGAACCCACAGAATATGTAAAGGTTTCAACTGTTTTCATGAATGTAATCCATCAGTATATTTGGGAAATCACTTATGGGAAAAAAAGACTGGATATATAGGGTCTTTATAGGCATGGATATTTTGTAATATACATGTTTTCAAACTGAGGACTATTTTTACATTTAAAAAGTGCATGGCCAAATTTTCATTAGCAGCATAGTAAATTTGCTCCTTTTAACATAACTAAAACAAATGAAGAGTAGAGATTAGTAAGTGAACCATAATATGACCTGTCTCTGGCCTCCTCACGGAGGAGGTCCAGAAAGAGCCTGCATTGCTTAATTGCCAGGATGTGGAGGAAGACAATTGTTAACTTCCTGACCACTAGGAAAGAGAAAAGGATGAGTGACTGGCAGATCACTCCTTCCTTGGAATGGAAGACAGGTTACCTCAGTAGACAGATGAGCCAAAATATATGATTCTATTGTCTGAAATTGAATATTTTCACTCCAAGATGTCATTGACCTTTTTAAATGGAATCTTTTTTGAAAACTAGAACGACAAAAAAAAAAAAACTTCTCAAAGACTACAAATTTGTTTTTAGAAATTGAAAATAGTGAACACTTTCTTAGTACTGAAGTCCTACAACATGCAATACACATGTAATACTTCATCGATTTGGACTCATCTGCTTAATGTGTCTGTTGATTCATGCAGCATTGTTGAGGCATGGCTTTTGCCAAAGCTACCTTATAACTCAACTTCCCTACAACTACATTGGTCTGCTTGGAGTTGCAGCTTGTTTATTATGTGTACGCTCTCACTTTGGATGACCAGGTTGCATAAGTCATGTCTCCACTGCTCTACCCTACCTCAGAAAGTGCCCATGTGGTCTGTGGATGCTTAGATATGGTTGTAGAGACCTTCTGCCTCCATAGTTGGGTTGGTTATATCTAAAGATCACTACCTTTTCCCTTACTTAGAAGCCAGAGAAGTTAGTCATAAATTATTCATTGGCCATTACTCCTCTGTTGACCATTTTCCTACAGGGTAACAGTTGTCCTTGGGGGTAAAAGTTCAATTCTCTGGCTGTTGCTCAAACACTTTAGGGGTCTTCTCATATCCAAGTTGTTGTTCTTGTTCTTCTTCCCTAGGAACTGTTTACTCTGAGTTTCCTAAATTTCTCTGACCTTTCCTTTCTTTATGGGTGACTAAAATGCCAACTTCTGAGTTTTTTGTTGATCACTGTATTTGAAAACCACTGATCACTGCATAGTCGACACCATCCTTCCACTTTTATTTTTCTCCAGAGTACCTATCACTACCTGGGTTATCAATCTTTTGTTTAATGTCTTTTTGTCCATATTATATGCTGGAATCATAAAGGGAGGAATTCCTATTTGTTTTGTTTACTGCTTTACATCCAGACCTAGAAAAATGTTTACTAATGTTTCTGAAGTGAAACAAAAAGTCAAGCTGAAAATATTATTCTTTTAACCACAGCATTTAAATGAAACTTATTCATTTGTAAATTTGGAAAGGAGTGCTCTATCATTCATCTCAATTTAAAATATATTTTACAATTTAATTTTTTAATTTTAAATATTTTCATAGAAAGTTATTATTATTTTTAATCCAATACACACACTCTATACTTGTCAACCCCTTGGAGTAGTCTTCTAGTCCATTTAACTTTTAAGTGAAGTACTTCCTTTAGAGCTATAAATGTTTGAAATACATTGAAAAATTAGATTGTATCATTAGTGCACTATATTCAGAATTTTAGATCATGTATATTAGGAAAAATTAGTGAGTCTTCTACCATAGTCTTGAGTTCAAAACAACTTAGTATCTGTAGCTATTCATTGTTAGGACATTGATTAGCTTTTTTGTTATTAATTTTAGTAGGCAGGTTGAACAATTTTGCATGAAACTGTTCTGTTAAAATTTTTGCTTAAAACATTTTTGCTTTAAACTCTCCTGTCTAAATTTTGACACTCTAAGTTTTTTCTTGCTTTTAACATATGCTAAAATACTTGGATTTCTAAGAATCTCAGGTTAAGTTAGTAGTTTGACTCAAAAAAGTTGACATATATTTTTTTTTACTCCTGCAATTATAGTAACCTCAAAACTATTTTTGTAGGTTGCTATTAAGAACTAGGCATCTGTGAGGAATAGCTGTTTTATAACCTGATAGTCTAGGAGATTCTTAAATCTGTTTGAGAGACCAAAATCAGTTATGGTGTACTTTGTGGGGGATTAAGGTATTCCATATTTTTTTAAAAATGTACATTTCCAAGGGAAAAATGTTGCAACTGACTTTATGGTAGGCACACATGGTTAACATGCACAGATTTTTGTTCTTTGGTGAAAGCTCATAGTGGTGTATTTCCCCTTTGATTTACTTGAGTTTGAAGAAAATTTCTTAAAACTGTAAGGAATAAATGAGTTTCAATTTGGTGACTTAGGTGTAGTTTGCTTCTGTTTTTTTTCAGGGGGATGTTTCTGGATACCATTCTCCCCTCCCGTGATGATAATGGCATCCGTCCGGCAATTGGGCAGCGCACCCGTTTGAGCAAAGGAGACATTGCACAGGCAAGAAAGCTGTATAGATGTCCAGGTATTGCACCCCACACACAGAGCGTGGCTGTGCTTGCTTGTGCTCTGCCTACAGATAACTGTCATTTACTCTACTGTGTACTTGTCCCCTCCCTGTTGGCAAGTGATCTGTATGATTCAAAGTCAGTGATCATGACATGAGGTGGAGGGAACTCTGGATCACCCATTGCAATAAAGAAAAACAGGTTGTTGAAATCATATTTCAAACACAGGGATAATATGTATTATTTCTTTTGAATTGAATGAGTAAAATAGCAAAACAGAATGGTTGTTTGATAGTTATTAAATAGTTACATGATCTTATAGTCAAATACTGTGTTTCTTTGCCAACGTAAAAAGAATATCCTTTATTTGAACTTCAAAATAGGGTCTTAAAGGGTCTTTTTTTGCAAGTACCATCATTAGTGATATATAAATTACAATTTTATCAGGAGGAATTTATATCTTGGTTGTAAAAAATGTTCTAATCATGTTGCCAGTGAACTGCTATATGTTTTGCTAAATAAAACTAAATAAAGTTTTGGAAAAAAGATTAATGAAAGCTTTTAAGAAGAGTGTTCTAAGAGAACACTATGCCTTAATAATCCAAGAAAGAAAAAAATTCTGTGCTCCAAATTAGAAGTGTTGTGGACTCTATGTATCTCCTGTGTATTTACAATATTTGAAATACCCTGCATCAGAGAAACATATTTAACTTTGCTCAACACACTTTTTACAAATCATTTGGCCAAAGAAACCTCCTTTTACCTGATACTTACTAGTAGAATTCATTACTGGAAATAATCTTCCAGATACTTAAGGTTGCATATTTAGAACAGATACATGATCTAAAATAATTGTAAGTGACTGCTATTCTGATAATTTTTCAGGGTATGACTGGCATATTAATCAGTGAAATTTTACATAGATAATTATTTAATGTTAATATGCTAAATTATTGAGAAGCTTTTAATTATATTTATTATGATTTCTGGTGTCAGTTCAGGAAATTTTTCCTTTAGGATATAGGAGAGCACTAGCTATTTCATTCACAGGAATTTAGTAAGTGTTCACTGACATATGGTATAATACCCATTTGTTGAATAGACTCAAGTGCAAGCAAGAAAAAGTGTGTTGGTTGAATAGTCTCAGGAAATACCTAGGAAGTTCATAATTCAGCATGGGTAATGGTATTTAATTCATTGATTCAACACAATGAGTTTTGTTGAAATTTCTGCTGAGAAAAGGGGTCTCCTCTTCCTTCATAATAGATTTGCCAAGGAAAACCGTAAGAATTTTTTTTCAATTTTGTTTTAATGGTTAATTTTCTTGTAATTTAGGACTGTTTTCAGAAAAGAAGTTGAAATTTTAAATTTTTTTATTTTTTTTATTTTTTATTTGGAGTCTCACTCTGTTGCCCAGACTGGAGTGCAGTGGCTGCTCCCGGCCA